GAGGGGGGGGGGAGGGAGGGGAGGGGGAGAGAGAGAGAGAGAGAGAGAGAGAGAGAGAGAGAGAGAGAGAGAGAAAGAAAGAAAGAAAGGGGAAGGGAAGGAAGGGGAAGGGAAGAGAAAGGAAGGGGAAGGAAGGAAGGAAGGCAGACGGCGACATTGACACACAGCCTGTCAATTACAGTCACCATCCCCTTGTCTCTTTGGCTGGCCCTGCGAAGCCGGCCTCTCCTAGCCCCGGCTGAAGCCAAGGGCCGCTTTCGCGAGACCCCGGGAAGGCGCCCAGATCCGGGTGAATCCGGGGGCGGGGGCTCCCCGTGCACGGCAGCCAGCAAAGCCATCGCCCGTCCTCCGGGCCAATCGGGGCTGCCCAAAGCGCAGCCCACCCCGGGCCTCCAGGCCGACTTCCACGCCGGCCCTTTGCAATGCCAGTCCCGGGGAGGGAGGGGGGGGGAAGGTCCTCTCCGGAACCGCAGCTTCTCCAAGCAGGCGCCCGCCCGCCCGCCCTTCCCTCCGGCTGGGCCCGGGGAGACAGAGCCGCCCTACCAGGCACAGCTCGCCGACTGCCCGCACCACCACGGCCAAGTTGGCCGCCGCTTCAACGGCCTCGCCCCGCGCCGCCATCCGCGCTCCTGGCCAGCTGACGCGCGGCGCCCGGGCTGCTCCGGTTGCTGGCAGCCCTCCGCCTCGGCCGGGAACTTTATCCGACCCGCCGAGGCTGCGGGGGGGGGAGAAGGAGGGGGGCTCGGACTCTGCCCTGGCAGGGTCCCAAGGCGGGAGGGGGGGGGAGCCTTTAGCCCTCCCGGAGAGAGCAAAGACCGTCCTCCCAGCGCTGGAGGAGGAGGAGGAGGAGGAGAAGGAGAAGAGGAGGAAGATGAAGAAGAGGAGGAGGAGGAGGAGGAGGAAGAAGAAGAAGAGGAAGAGGAGGAGGAGGAGGAGATGGGCCATACATTCTTTGCACTGATTGATGGATCCATTGTTTCTGTGGCTCTCTCCCTCTCCCCCCCCCCCTTGCTCCTGCAAGTTCAAGGCTGGTCCCTGAAGTTTATTCCCCTCCCCCAACACAGCCCTGTGAGGTAGGGCAGGTTGACAAGGGGCTGGCTCCAAAGTCTTGGAAGTTTCCAAAGGTACAGGGATCGATGTGTTCTCTTCCGACATCCCGTGAACTGCTTGGCACCAACCATACATGGCAGTGTTGGGAGAATCCAGAGTCCAGGCGGAGGACATGGGGGGGGGGATTGGAAGTGCCTTACTTCTGAAGTACTGCATGTGGAGTCAAAGGATTCACACAACATACTTGAGTCATCGGGTTTGGATTAGTTAAACCTTACTCTTGTGGCTTGGGAACGATGGGTGAGGGGCACATGGGTGGATCCATCTAACATATTCATCAAACCATCAATAGGATAGGATAGGATAGGATAGGATAGGATAGGATAGGATAGGATAGGATAGGATAGGATAGGATAGGATAGGATAGGATAGGATAGGATTGCAGAAGAATAGAATAGAATAGAATAGAATAGAATAGAATAGAATAGAATAGAATAGAATAGAATAGAATAGAACTGGAAGGGACCTTGGAGATGTTCCAGTCCAGCCCCCTGTTCAAACAGGAGAACCTATACCCTCTCAGACAGGTGACTGTCTAGTCTCTTCTTAAAAATCTCCAGTGATAAGCTCCCATGATTTCTGGTGGCAAGCTGTTCCACTGGTTGATTGTCCTCACTGTCAGAAATTAATCAAATGGCAGTTTAATCCAGTGTGAAAGCCAGACTGTTTTGCACTAGCCCCAAATGGTGAACATTGCTGGCCTTTCTAGCACCAGTTTTTCCTCATTTCAGAAGGCCGAGGGGGCACCTCTCATTCTTAGCCCCATCCGTCTGCTCCCCCATCCTAAGCCTGTCCTGCAGGCTGCAACTGCTGACCATCACTGCTGACCCTCAGTGTAGATGTCAATCAATTTCCAATTTGAATTGACCTGTTAAGCATCGTGTGGCAGATGGAAAATGGCCCCCACCAAGGCTCCAGTTGCCTGAATAGCTTCAAAGCTACAATTCTTCAGTTGCCCCAGTAAAAAAGAAACCCTGGGTTGACCTGAGCATCTTCCAGGTTCACACGATCCTGTATGAATCTTGGCCAAATTCTAATAAATCTTTCAAGGAAACTTGAAATTGCCCGTTTGAAAATTAAAGTCGGCAAACACATCGACAAGTCGATACAACACTAATCGCTAAGAGAGATACATGTGAAAACCCCGTCTCTAAATGTAGAGAGAGAAATTGACGTTTTCAAAGGTAGTAACAGATTCGTTGGCAGCTTACGGTTTCTGCTACTATATCCATACAGAGAGACACATGCAACGTATTGTCCATGTTAAACAACACAATTTGCACTGTGGAATTTCAGGCATGGCTTCACATTTTAAAATGGAACCTATTCTTTAGCATTCCTTTTTTTCTATAGTGATTTATTAAGCATTGCAATTAAATGGGTTGAGTAACATAGCTATGTCCTTATTGCCCAGACTCTTAAAACCGCCAGAGTCTGCTGTCTTATGGTCTCCTGACAGGAACAATTGCTTAGAGTACTTGTGAGCGATCTCAAGTCTTTCCCTTGTCCAGAAAGAAATTTTGAAGAGCTTGTCTATTTATTGGTTTTTTTCATTTGACTGCACTCATTAGCTCTGTTTTTAGCAGAGTGGTTTTCAGTTCGTCATTTCTTCCCTGGAACTCCTTTTTCAGCAATGTCTATGGAGATTCTCAGTCCTCCAGTTCATGGTTGTCCCAAAGGTGCTTTTTCAAAAGACAACTGGACTTGGTTTTTCCTTGAAGACCTTTCGCTTCTCATGCAAGAAGCTTGTTCAGTTCTGACTGAACGGTGGAGGATGGAAGGATTTATATTCCTTGCAGTCATCTGGTCGTTTGCATTCTCTCTGAGAATTGTTGTTAGGGCACAGATAAACCTCCAAGTGGCTTCAACGACTCTCAGAAAGAATACGAATGACCAGATGACTGCAAGGAACACGAATCCTTCCATCCTCCACCGTTCAGCCAAAACTGAAGAAGCTTCTTGGATGAGAAGCGAAATGTCTTCAAGGAAAAGCAAAGTCCCATTGCCTTTTGGGGAAAAAGCACCTTGGAAATTTTTCAGCAATCTATCATTGTGCTTGGACATTTTATTATTCATAACTTCTTCTGCATTGGCTAATGTTGCTTCATCAGTTATCCATACGTTTAGTGTTGAGTAATCAGTCAACTTTTACCTAATTCTTTTTGTTCTGCATAAGTACAAATGCATAGCATTTATACTTTTGGTTAGTCACCTTCCATAAAGGCTTGTTTGCTTCATTTTTTTGTTGCCGTGCAGGTAGCAAAAGAATAAATAGATTATTTGGAACAATAATAAGTTACTATTTATCTTTTCAGAGTTCTTGTGTTGCTCTTTTATTGAGCTAGACGTCACCCTTGCAAATAAATTTGCATAGTTATTTCTCTCTTTGGAACAGTACATTTTATTTTCAATATTTCCTGTAATGTTAATCATTTATATTGACAACTCTGAGTTGAAGATCTTAGAGCCGTTTATTATAAACCACATGATTTGTAGAATCATCCAAATGAGGACATATTAGTTCATCTTCAGCTCCTGGAATAAAAATAAACCTTATTCTCTAATCACCCAATATGCCAAAAACTGCTAGACAGCATCTCTCCCCACCAATAAGAAGATCGTTTTGGAAGATGGATGGATTAATAAAAAAAATTGCAAGGTTAAAGAGGTTGTGTTGGTGTCATTTCTTAAATTTGAAAGGAGAGTATAGTCAAAATAGCTATTTATGCTCAGATTTAAACTTTGGGACAATGAAAAATCGCAGGGGCCAAGTTTACACATTGAAGCCATTGGAGTTTAACCCAGCTTTGTTACAAAATTGGGTTGAGTTCCCACAGTTAGATAAACCAAAGCTGGTAAACTATGATGTCGACACAAATTATGTGGCTATTTGAAACACACTGGGTGCATTTGTGCTTTATTTTGAAAGAGACCAGCATGGATAAATGTTAAGCCTTGCAACATACATGCAAGCAATTAGAATTATTTTCCTTCAGTTTCTAATTAACTACAGGTTTGTAACCAAGTGTTTAACTGTGGTTAATCTTCAAAAACATTTTCCCCAAGCTGAAATATTACAAAAAAGCAAAGTGGAATCCTAAACTCAACCCTACTCATTTGCCAAACACACTTTAAAGTGTGTTTGCCTACATATCACATCAGCACGTGATTGCCTACATTGCCTACATATTAATTGAGCACATAAGGAAAAATATTTCGAAGGAGAGACTTGTAACCAGCATTATCACCATGATCTGAACTTGACTTGGTTTCAAATCACAATTTACAAATTAGTTTAGAGTTTATTAGGATAAAACAATGAGTTGTAGTTAAAACTGGAAGAGAAAACTGACATTTTGGACTCACTAGACACAGGAAAGATATAAGTCCAGGGTTTTCATCTCAACAAACCATGGTTTGTTTTGCATAAAGTTTGAAAGACTCACAAAACTGCATAGCTTGTGCCAAAGAGGAGGCACCTTTCCAAAATAAATAAAGGCTGCTTTAACTTTACTTTATAGCTTCTGTAAAGAAACCACAAAAAGGAAAAATATGGATTATTAAATGTCAGGTCAAATCTTAGAATGATACAGAGGGTGGGGGGAAATCCAGACTATCCTATCATTCTATAAAAATGAGAAGGCACAAATTCATAGCAGATTAAAGGAGAGACTTAAGCAACACCAAAGCTTTCATAATATAGGTAAATAAGTATGGAGAAATACAAGTTACTACATCCAGGTCTAACTGAAGCAAAACTCGCAAAAACTTTATGCAGAAAAGTACCAGGTAGTTTCCAATGGACAGAAGCAGGGGGAGTGGAGGGTGGGGGGTGTAAAAAAGCAAGGTGGCATTTACAACACCACACACACACACACACACACACACACACACACATGCGATGGAAGACCCACCTCTTTTGTACCTGCAGATGCCCTGAATAACAAAGCAGTTGCAAAAAAAACTTGAAATAAAGTTTTACATGTTACAACAAATGCCTCAAAGGGAATTTGGTTATGGCAACAGATCTTTTATTTATATATTTTTCTTGTTATTCTTTATAGGATATTGTTTTAATCTCATGGTTGTGAGCCACTCAGAGTTCTAGTTTTAACATGGGCGGCCATGCAAATAATGTAAATAAATAAATAAAGTACCTGGCATGTTTTAAGCCCCATGAAAAAGTTTCTAATATTCAATGTTATTACATAATAATCAAATTTTTCAGCTGCATTTTCTCTCTAGGGTTGCCAGGTCTGCTTCCAAAAAATAGCGGACAAGCGGGGGGGGGGGGGGGGTTAAGTAGTAAAAAAAAGTAGACTGTACAGCTTTAGATTATGTACCATTTCATCATAAAGCTTTTGAATAAAAAAAATGCCCACTATTTTGTGGAAAAAAAATAGTGAACATAATGTGAAAAAAGTGGACTGTCCACTCAAATAGTGGACATCTGGCAACCCTATTTCTCTCTCTTCTGAAATAAGCATCTGTCTGTCTGTCTGTTCATCCCT